GCCGCCGCCGCCGCCGCCGCCGCCGCCGCCGCCGCCGCCGCCACCACCACCAGGCCCTTTAAATGTTCTGTGGCCTTTACTTAAGTGGGAGGGAGAACACACTCTGCAGAAGGCACTCAGGAGCTGCAAGTCCCGTCCCCTGTCCCCCGTGTCCCCCCTCAGTTTCTTCAAAAACCCAGAACTGTTCTTGGAGTGAGTTTACATGCCCCTTCCAGGTATAGCGGAGAGACGTGAGCTTAACTCAGATTACCCATCATGACTGACTATTGCTATTTGTTCATAGGCCGCTACAGAACAACATGTTTTTCCACTTGTAGCATGTTGCTGTGATTGTATACAGCTTGAGCTCATGAGAACATTACTCAGGTGACCTTTCTTTTACCCTCAGGATATGAACTGTCTGATGCTCTGAATAAAGTTGGCTTTTATTGCATGAGACTTTACTCTGCCTCATTTTTAGGCCCCGCTTTTCCGGGTCCAACTACCAACCAGAGTGATGAATACCAGCCATACTCTGAAAACTGCAGCAAAACTATTGACTCAGACCTGAGTTTCCTAAAAACCCCAGAACTCAGTTACACGTCAGTCTAGGTGAGGGGACAGACGTAAAACTGGGCAAGCTCTTATTGTGCCTTGGAGAGTCAGTGGCCTGTGATTAACCAGAACCATCAATAAATATCCTTTTTCTGTAAACAGACCAAAATGCTAACAGATAACACAAAGTGGCCTCTCTACCTCAGGCTGCTCTGTCACACAGTAAGTCCCAGAAGACCTGACATGAGGTCGGCACTTCCGACCCTGTTCAAGTGCCACACACAAGGCACCCACCACCCATCCCCACCCTGGCCAAACCCTGGGCAGTTGTTACATATGAGGCAGATGGCACCAGAGCAACTCTGTGAATAAAACTTTAATAATGTACAGCAGAAACTGGACAGGCTCGTTCTTATATTAAAACAAAAAATTTCCTATATTACAATATATTTACATTTGCATACTGAAGAGGTAAAGTGTCTAAGTGGCTATTTTACAGTCCTTTCTAATAAATTGTACAAAAAACAAACAGAAGTACCGAGGACGCCGTTCAGGGGCCTGGATGGTGCCCTAGGAACGGGCTTGGACTTGGTCTGTGAATCCAGAATCCAGAGGTGCAGGTGCCCTGTGGATCAGGGCAGCCTCAGGGAGCCCAAACAGTTTCAGTGTCTCCCAACTCTCAGCTTACTGTAAAGAGTCGTGGGACAGGGTGGAGTTTCCCCCAAACCTGCTCACGTCTTCCTGAGAGGCGGCCGAGCCCCTGGGAGGAGGGTAGTGGCGCGGGAGTCACTGTGGGTGTACGCTGGCAAACAGCAGGACTCTACAGTTCCATCGTCACCTGTAATCACGAAGGTGCAGCTGCAGGGGGGGGGGGGGAGTCAGCAGGGGTGGGTTAAGAGGTTCCCCCAATGACACAATTGGGACTCAAGGGAAATAGTTCAATGGCCAGTAAATTGGCCCAAAGAATTAAAGGAAGATCCCCTTTAATGCAAGGAAAGAAGTTACGAACCAGGAAATAAATAGAGAACACGGGGAGACCGAGGCAGGAGAAGCTGGGCTGGAGGCAGTACCCCTGCATGTACTCATGCCTCCCCGGGGGCAGGAAGGGCACACAAGGCAGGCAGTGCTTTGGGGTCTCACCTGGGTTTCTAAACTCCAGGCCTCCCCGTCCTCTGCCTGAGGGGATGCAGTATCCTCTTCCCTCAGTGGTCTTAAGAACAGGAACCCTAGGCTCAGAAGGCTCTCGGAGCAGCCGCAGGCCCTCCTGGTCTCCAGGCGGGTGCTCACGCCCTCCCGGGATGCGGCTCCTCCTCTGGCGCCCCAGGCGCAGCACCCAAGCCTGCCTCCTTCCCAGAGGTCCTCAGCAGGCACGCAACTCAAACTGCTGAGCAAATGTCGGGAAAGTGCAGCCAGGGGGCAAGGCCCCGAGGGCTGAGGCTGCTCACTGTGAGGAGGGTGTGCATGGGACCCAGGACACCAAGTCCCCGGGGAGGAGCTCTCACCGCTGAGTGGGAACCGGCTCAGGCGCACAGACAAACGTTTCCAGTGACTGAACTATGTGCGTTTGATTCTAGAGAATGTTTCTGTGGTGTTTTGTTTGTTTTCGGGATTTCTTTAAAAACAAACATACTAAGAGGTAATTGTCACATAGAGATGGTTTTCCTTTTACAAAAACTTAAGAGTATTAAAGTTAAAATCCTGACCCTCCCAATAAAATAAAATAAAATAAAATAAAATAAAATGAATTAAAACAAACCACTCCAGTTACAAGTTATGGCTTCAAAGTTATGATATACCTAAGATATGCTGACCAAATCACCACCACAGCAGGCTTCTAGAACTCGTTAAATACTACGCTTAGGTTAAACACCATATTCAACCCAGATCGCTCCCTTCAGTAGGGACCCTGAAGTGGATGCGAGTCTCTCCTCTTCCCTCTACCCTCCTCAGAGAATCCAGTACAAGAGGCTCATGCAGATGCCTCCCTCCCGCCCCTTGCCTCCCTCCCCTCCCTCGGCAGCCCATCCCTCCCCACCCCAAACCCACCACCACCAAAAATATACACTGCAGTCTGCAGAATCTGGGGTGGGACACACAGATGTTACATTCCAATCTGAGTCCCAAGATCTGGCCTCAGATTCCTTGGCCCTTCCTTACTGCTGCTGAGGAAGCTGCCCTTGGCTGGCTCATTTCCCATGGCTGATGCGGAAACACAACACCCAAGACTTGCATGACATTCTTTCTCTGCTCACCTCCCCGCCCCCCATTCTGACCCAAAAGCCTCTCACACCATGGACAAGCGGGCCAGCTTTGGTTCTGGTCTGAAATGGAAGAGGAGGGTCTGTGGCACAGGGTGGGCAAGCAGCCTGCTGAGAAAAGGGCCGCCCGACGGGCTGGGGACAGGAGAGACCTTCAGGAGGGCACCAGGTGAACAGATGCTGCTCACTGTGACAGGTGCCAGCACTCGGAGACAGTATGGCCACCACACCCTGGCCTGCACATGCACAGAAAGCTCAAGCAGGTAAGTGTGCACCTACACACACACACACACACACACACACACACACACAAGGGCGTGGCACAGACCAGGCACAATGTGGGACACACCTCGGCACATGCACACTTGGCTGGACAGACAGGCAGCAGGTGGTATCTCTAACGGCAGCCCCTCCAGATGTCCACGCGAAGGGGTGGTGACGCTCAGGACTGCCCGTGAGAGCGGCTACACTTCCAGCTCCTCTGAACACCTTGGTGCCAGGTTGACTGGTCCCTGGAGGAAAACCTGCAGACCCGCAGACCACAAGGTACAGGGGCTGCTCTGGGGAGAGCCCAGCACCCCGTCACCATTGCCGGCTACAGGCCGGATGCACTGGGCTTTGTGTGCTTCCCACTGTAGCAGTTCGACTTTCGGCATCGAGGTCTCTACATAACTTGCTCTCAGAGTCTCCATGCCATCAGGAGGTAAATATAAAAAGTGTCTGTGTCTCAAACCCAATGTGGGAGTGTCCGCGTCTCCCGGGCTCAGTCCCTCTTGCAGGCCAGGGCTCTGGTCAGAGGGCTGGGCAGAAACAAGAGGTAGGCCTCCAGCACTGAGCACGGCGGCTGCAGTCGTCTTCACTGCCCAGGTTCTGTGTGTAGGCAGAGGAGCAGCTTAGATTTTCACGTCTTCCTGCACGCTCAGCTGGGACAGCGTCTTCTTGATGCGCAGCGCCGTCAGGCGGGCAGCGCCATTGGCGTACCAGCACTCCCGCATCATCTTCCCCATCACCCGCAACGCCTGCGCAGAGAAACCACAGTGACCCACAGAAGCCGGGGCCGTTGGCTCAGGGCCGCCTCCCTGTCAGTCGGGTCCGATCCACCCCCGATGTTTGCATGCTTTCTTCCCCAGCTTTTCCTTCTCTAAGGGGCAGGTGTACAAGGGAAGGGAAGGCAGCAGCGGAAGGCTGGTTCTTCCAGCCTCACACTCAACTAAATCCACTTCAAGGTGCCCAGGGTACATTTTGGGAAATGCTGTTTTCCAACCCTGGCTAAAATGTGAGTCTGCAACTGTGTTCCTAGGTGTGGAGTCGCCCCCTAGCGGCCAGGCTCTGTAACAGTAGAGGCGAAGGAACTCTCCCTACTTCCAGAATCAGCAGAGCTGTGCCTTACCCTGGAATCTGCCCAGGATGTACCTCAGAGGTGATGGGCACAGCCGTAAAGGCAAGGGGGTAAATGACAGGTGTGTTCACTGGCTCGACTGTGGTACTGTTCACACCTACTCCGGATGCGTCTGGCACAGTGAACCTCAATGTAAGTTTGTTTGTTACAATGAAGCTACATAAATAAATAAAACAGCACCAAGAAAAGCAAGGCCGTGAGTGGCAGGGCCTGTGTCCTCTGCTAGGCAGACCACGTTCCCTCAAGTCTCCACGGTAGTTGGGGTCTATCACAAAACTCCCCACATTTCAGCTACCTCCCATTCCAAGTGCCCTAGACTGGAATTCGGGTTCTCCATCCGATTCACACTTCTCTTCCCTCAACCCTTTTATCTGCAGTTTCCACAAAGGCCACTGTCTCAGGCCTGCCTCTTTCTGGTACCCAGCCTGAACGAGGCTGAGCCTCCCTGGCCTGTGGCTACAGGGCCACTTTTCTAGTGTGACAGTTCTGTAAGAGCCATACTGAGTGAGGCTGGAACCCAGGCCTTGCACTGGGCGACACCCGCAGGCAATTTTGATAGGCCAACCAGTTCTGTTTGTTTTTGTTTGTCTTTTCCTGACTACCTCCCTCATGGCAGGGACTTCCTTTTCTTGTATGTTACCATTTCCAAAGGGACACTCTATAACACCAGGAAAATGACAATAGCCACAGAGGACTTGTGTGTAGAAAGGCACACACTGAGTACCCCGTATCTGAAATGCTTGGGACAGGAGGTGCTATGGACTTTGGATCCTCTCCGTCTATAATATCTGCATTTGCATTTACGCAGAGAAGGGACTAGAGCCACCTCTGAACAAGAAACTCACACTTCTTATCCATCTTAAACTCAGTCTCAAAGTGACTCTGTGTAATGTTTTCAGTGTGCCTGCATATGACTATGACCCGTCACCTGGGTCATAGGTGTCACATGAGGCCAGGTGTGGGATTGTAACACTATGTTAAAGATTAAAAAGTTTTGTATTTTGGATTTACAGACAAAAGATATACTCAAAAAGCAGACCCGGGAGTTGGTCCTCCCTTGGCCGACGGAGGAGTCTCAGGGGTCTAACAAGCTCCCTACCTCGTAACTCTGCCACCAGTTGGGGATGTTGGGCCGTAACTTCTGGTCACAGACGACCTTTCTCATTTCCTCAATGGAAGGGTCGGAGGGTACTAAGTCATAATACGGCAGTTGATATTCTTCATGGACTCCTAGGAAAAAAGAAAACCGAGTCACCAACAGAAGGAAGGGTGAGTTCCTCCAAACCCAAGGACAGCCATGCTTTGAGCGGTGACTTCTCACTACAGGGAGCTCAGTTTCTCTGGACAAGGCTGCTGGTTCCAGGCATGCTAACAAGGAGCCCCAGGAGCCCCAGGAGCCCCAGGAGCACCACCACACACACAGTCCGGGCCTCTAGTCCCAGCACGGGAGGCTGGGGCAGGCCGACTGTGAGGTCAAGCTCGTCTCATAATCCCATCTCAAACAGAAACAAGGCAAAAACAAAAATTGACAAGCATAGCCAAGAAAGTCTTTAATCATTAAAAAAAAGAAAAAAGAAAAAAAAAAGGAGCAGAAAATGTTGGACTACTAGGGTCACGTGAGCATTTTCCAACGGACCGAGGTGGTAACATCTAAACAGACTACAGAGCCTGACAGCACTCGGGAGGCAGAGCCAGGCGGATCTCGGTGAGTTCGAGGCCAGCCTGGACTACCAAGCGAGTTCCAGGAAAGGCGCAAAGCTACACGGAGAAACCCTGTCTCGGGGGGGGGGGGGGGGGGGGGGGGGGGGGGAATCCATAGTTAAGTGCAGGGCAGTGGTGGTGCACACCTTTAATCCCAGCCCTCGGGAGCCAGAGGCAGACATCTCTGTGAGTTCAAGGCCAGCCTGGGGTACAGAGCGAGTTCCAGGACAGCCAGGACTACACAGAGAAACCCTGTCTTGAAAAACCAAAAACGAAAAAAAGACTGATGTATTTACGCACATACACCACGTGCGTGCCTGGTGCCGGCAGAGGTAGGAAGGAGGAGTCAGCTCTCCTGGAACTGGAGTTAGGGATGGCTGCGGGCTGCCACAGGAACCCGGTCCTCTGTAAGAGCAGTGGGTGCGCCTTACCACTCAGCAGCTCTCCAGCCCTGTGAGGTAAGATTTTTAAACAGAGGACGGGACCTGGTAATCATTTATCTAAGGGCAGTCGGGAGCTGAGGCTCATGCCCCGGCCTGCTACAGTCTCAGCCACGTGACCTCTCACACTTCACTTCACCTTTCTCTGACTCATTTTTTTCATCTACAAAATGAGGGAAGACTCATGTCTGCCGTCACAGGTCTGCAGTGAGGACACTGAGTGTACACACGCAGCAAGCGCTAAGACGCTGCGGTTGTTACAGATTCAGCTCTAGTTCCTGGACGTCACTAGAGAGAAGACAGGAACTTCTTCACAGTTTGAGCGTTGTACGACAGGGCCAGGGAGACAGCTCAGGAGGTACCGGGCCCGTGTGTGAGCACGAGGACCTGACTCAGGTAAAAGCCAGGACACACCTGTGACCCCAGGGCAGGGGGACAGAGGCAAGAGTATCCCAGGACACCTCAGCCATCAGTCTAACTCATGAGCTCCAGGAGTAGTGAGACACCCTGTCTCAAAAACATGAGGTGAACTCTGGCCTCCACACGCACACACATATGCACATACCTAAGGGAACATGTACATGTACATACATCAAACGCACACAATGATACTTAAAAAGACCCATGACAATTTTCTTTGTGGAAAGAGGGATGCTGAGCTTACACAATACATACATACATACATACATACATACATACATACATACACACATACACACATATGTATGTGTGTATATGTATTACATTCGAGCACTACCACTGAATTACACTCTAGTGCCGTAATTCTCCTCATCAACTTTACTTAGTTATACTGATCAAAATTAAAGAGGCCCAAGCCCGGGGCTGGAGAGATGGCTCCGAGGTTAAGAGCATTGGCTGTTCTTTCAGAGGACCAGGGTTCAATTCCCAGCACCCACATGGCAGCTCACAACTGTCTGCAACTCCAGTTCCAGGGGATCTGACACATATAATAAAGTTAAATAAATTATTTAAAAAAAAAAAAAGAGGAGGCCCAAGCCCATGAGGACCCGAGTCTCTCCTCATTGCCCGTGTCTAACTACACACATCATGGCCAGAAAAGGGCGGGAACAAAAAAGGTCCCGCTGGAACATCCACCAGCTGTTTTTAATGCAGCTACTGCCACTGCCCAGGGCCTTTCACCGGACCAAAGGCTGAGGGGAGGGCTCTGGAGGCTCTGGAACCTGAGCACATGTGGAACATTTGGAGGCCGTCATAAAACACTCACACAAGCTGACAATAAAAAACGTTCCTGCTAATCTTCTCCAAATTCTCTCATGAACAAGCAACTGTAACTGTCAGGTTTTGGTTTTTCAATTATGAGAGAAGAAAGATCTTTTTAAGAAGGTCCTAAGCACTCTTGTCAACTAGGAAAGTTCTACTCTTGGTGAAAGAAGGAAACCCAAGGCTCCCCCAGAGATGTGGCGAGGAGTGTGCCCGGGGGACCTACATGTCAGAACCAACTGCCTCCTTCTCCTAAGAGCCCACCTTGACCCTGGCCCACTGCATCCTAGGAATTCTCCTCCACTGTGGGTTAAAGATAAAGACAGTGAGGGAGGGAGGGAAAAAGAGAGTGTGTGTGTCACATGTCTAATGAGCTATCAAAATGATCATCACAAAGAACAACCCTATTCAACAAACTGGTCTCAGGGCCTAGAGTATGGAGGAATCTCGTCCGGCATGAACAAAGCCCTGAGTGATTCATCCCTAGCCCAGCAAACGAATATGACACCCAGCTGGCCTCTCAGCACGGCACCTCCAGGACTCTGGCACCCAACACCCCGCAGGCTGTGGAGAAGTGGGGTGCCAGCACCATTGGGAACAGGAGGAGAAGGTACCTCCAGAGTTACATCTTCGAGCAATCTCCCAGTATACAAGCCCCAGAGCATAGATGTCGGCACACTTGAAGGAGTCAAAGTGTTTCATGTTGATGGTTTCATCCAGTACTTCCGGAGCCATGTATCTGGAATGTAAGAGAAAGAGTCATGCACACCTCAGGAAGTCTGCGCGGGTGAGAACGCTGCTCCGTCGCAGCTCTCAGGGAGCAGGAGTGAGAGCTTGTCTTCTACCACACAGCCTGCTTTGATCCAGAGCTGAAGGTCTCAGCTTCTGGAGTCTTGGCGCGGCCTGTGCTGTGGACCACACCGGTGGTGATGGCGGATCACTGCTGGGACTGTCACTTCACAGGGGAGACAGCGATGGAGTGAGCTGAGACTCATTCGGAGTTTCTTTATCTTACCTGATTTCAGATAGCTGAAAACCATTCTAGAGGTGATCAAAATCACACTCAGTGACTCTGAGCAGTAATTGTGTGTAATTACATGATGTAAGACGCCCCACCCACACTTTGGAGCCTGGGTAGATGCAATCTCAGGTCAAAAGGACAAAAAGGAGCAGCATGATTAACTCACTCAGACCCGGCAGACCCTCTCTCCCACCCTCTGTCATATGACGTCAGCTATCTAAGTTCCTTCTCAGTGAAGTGGGGAGCAGGCTGCACCCCTTCAGGTAGCCAGACCCCAGCTTCATTAGCTCTGCTCAGGCTGGCACCCCTGCTCTGCAGGTTCAGATAGGACCCATTCCCCTCTCCTTCAAGGGGTTCCGCCAGCCACCCCTGCACCACAGTGCTGCCCCTGCCCCTAGCCAGGCCTGCTGCCTGCCCTCCCAAACTCTGCTCCAGAATGCTTTTTAGTTTATTTTCTTAAGACAGGGTTTCTCCGTGTAGCTCTAGCTGTCCTGGATCTCGCTCTGCAGACCAGGCTGGCCTCAAAGATCCACCTGCCTCTGCCTCCCAACTGCTGGTATTAAAAGCATGTGCCACCACAGGCCAGTTTCTTTTTCATTTTTTTTTTTTTTTAAAGATTTATTTACTTATTATGTATATAATGTTCTGCCTACATGTGTCCCTGCAGGCCAGAAGAGGGCACCAGATCCCATTATGGATGGTTGTGAGCCACAATGTGGTTGCTGGGAATTGAACTCAAGACCTTTGGAAGAGCAGCCAGTGCTCTTACCACTGAGCCATCTCTCCAGCCCCTTCTTTTTCATTTTTACATAGTTATCTTCATTGTTTTTTTTATTTGTGTATGTGTGTGTGTGTGTGTGTGTGTGTGTGTGCGCGCGCGCGCGCGCGCGCGCGCGCGCGCGCCCCCGCCAAGGTCAGAAGAGGACTTTGGATCTCCCGGAGCTGGAATTATAGGTGGTTGTGAGCCAAACAACTTGATATGGATGTTGGGAACCAAATTTGGGTCCTCTGCAAAAGCAGTATATGCTCTTCATCACTGAGTTATTTCTCCAGCAGTCCTTAACCCATTGGAGTCAGGGTCTCGCTGTGTATTTGAACTCACAGAGATCTGCATGGATCTGCCACCTGAGTGCTGGGACTAAATGCATGAGCCACCGAGCCAGGCCTCCTGCTCCAAACTCTTCCTCCACTGCCCTTTGTGAGGCCACAGCACACACATGCTGTGGGGCAGGGCTCCTGGGATGGCACTGGTCAGCCACTGCTGTGCAGTGTCCAGCATGAGGCGGGGACCAACACCTGCCACTCAAGGACAGGAGGACGTCTCCTCCCGGTTCCTCTTGTGTGTGTGTGGGGGGGGGGTGTGTGTGAAAAGTGGGGCCAGAGCCCAGGGCCTTCCTACCGTTTGGTCCCCACCCTCTGATTTGGAGCGATGTCAATGGTGTCGGTGACTGCGTCGTGCCGGACAGCCAGGCCCAGGTCTGCGATGGCACACATGCCGTTCTTCTTCACCAGGATGTTCTTGGACTTTAAGTCTCGATGAGCAATCCCAGGCTTCCCTGGCAGAGACAAAACCAGGCACACTTAAGGAAGATGTGTGCATGGAACGCGCACAGGTCCGAGGCAGACTGTGGGCTGCCTCCTGGCTTTGCCTCCCACAAGCCAGTGATCCCATGAGAGGCTCAGCCTTCTCCTCTGGACAATTAGAATAATGGCACTTCATGGGGATGTGGAGAGGATAAAAGCATTCCCAGAAGTACCTGACATGCCTCAGAATGACATGATTATTGCTGAACATTAAAATACCACCACTCAGCAGCCCTGAAGAGCCCAGGTGGGTCGTCAGGTGGACAACTGAGCACACGGTGGTGCTGAGGCCTGGGACTACCATTAGTCCTGCAACACTGGAGCCTGCCTGTCAGGCTGGTTTCCTACCACATGCAGTGAGAGCCACTGCCCAGGGCCACACAAGCCTCAGTGTTCACACCTGCTGCTGGGGCGAGCCTGGGCTCCAGAGCCAACAGGACAGTCTAGCAAAGTCTGGGTCCTCCTCCCGGAAAGCCACAGACAGGTGGGCCCCATGTCTTGCCACCATGAAATGTGCAAGGCAGTGCCCAACCTCAGCAGGAGATTACTACACTCCTTCTTCAGGGGTGTTGGTCTCTTCTTAGTTCCACTCTTCCACAGTGCACCCCAAAATGCTGTTCCTTAGCAAACCACTGAGTCTGTGCTAACAGCAGCCAAGCCCTCACCTCAGACCTTCCCTAGGGAAGGGCTAATGACAGGGCCGACGAAGAAACCCTGCTGGGCTTCTGTTCCTGCTCACACAGTTTGGCGCTCTGCTCCTCAGATGAAGCCACCATTCCCGAAGTTTGGCCCCGGCTCCCTCAGTGAGGAGGACCAGATGGCGACGGGCAGGCCTCTGTCTCAAGCTTCCTGCTCTTCAGCTGAGCTCTCTACCCACCTTGAGTGCCCACAATCTCCATGTGCAGGTGCGCCAGCCCACTGGCTGCAGACAGCGCCAGCTTAATCATCCCCTCGATGGTCACCGTGTATCGGTTCAGATAATCGAACAGGGAACCGTGCTCGTGATAGTCAGAGACAAGCCACAGCTGGGTCCAGGTGCCGTTGTCTGCAGAAAACAGAGGCGGTCTGAACGGAGGGAACAGCAAGGAGGGCGGTGTGCCCTGCAAACGACGCCAGGCTCGGGAAGACCCGCACCGACACTTCTCGCCTCTCAACTCTGGCTGTCCCTTGACCCCACCTCCCTACAGCGACCTCCAGGGAGGACAGGGAAGAGCATTGCTTTTTAGAACTGCTCGGTTACCCAGGTGAGTGTGGGGGTTAGAACGAGAGCTCCCCTCACAGCCTTGGGCGTCTGGCTACTTGACCCCCAGCCGGTGGCTGTTTGGGAAGCCTGGGAGGTGGGGCCTTGCTAGAGGAAGTGTGTTCCTGGGGGCAGGCTTTGAGGGTTCAAAAGGCCTGAGCCATCCTTCTGCTTGTGGCTCAAGATGTGAGCTCTCAGCTGCTGTTCCCACAGCCGGCTGCGTCCCCATCATGGACTCAACCTCTGAAGAGTGAGCACAAAGTCAACTCTTTTGTAAGCTGCTTTGTTGTGGTGTTTTATCACAACAACACACAAGTTGGCTGAGACACTGGGAACACTGAAAAGGACTGAGGACAATTCTAAACAATATCCATTTTACTGCCGAATCTGCAAGGCAGGGTAGCCAGAGAACAATATGTACTTAGGGAAAGCAACAGGTCCATTTTGTCATAGCCCTGACTTTGTGAGACTCTCAAGGCTACACTCACCACTGCCGGGGAGGAACACCTTAATGGCCTCTCCCCTCCCCGAATGATGTGTGACCTTTTGATTGTAACCCAGCCCAGCACCTGTCTCACTGGAAATGTCTCCAGCCTGTGGCCATCCTCAGGCTGGGAGCTGGGACGGGAACATGACGATCTCCTTTGTGCATCACTGTTACAGAACCAAAGATGCTTGAACAGCCCACTGTGGAGTATTCCCAGAAAGCTCATCTCGCCCTTCAGAGAAGCAGTGGAAGGGGGTAACATGCACTGTATTTTCCCTCTTTTTCACATGGGGGAGCAGGAAGGAGGAAGGGAGAGGAGGAAAAGGCCAGGAATCAAATTAGGCTTATGCTGCTGTCACTGGGAAGATTAGAAACCGCACTGAGAGCTCCCACATCCTAGGCTGGTGCTAGTTCCACGGCATCATACTGAATGCACCATGGGAAAAAGGCAAGAGCAAAGAGCCTAACCCCCTCCTCCCTGGCCCTGTGCGGGTGTCCCCAGCCAGATCCCAACTCACATAAGCTGCCAGAATCAACAGAGAGCAACTGCTGGAAAGGTCTGAACAGTGGCACCTCTGATCCCAACAAGGGCCACACTCTACCCAGCAACTACTTCTTGAGGGCCCACTGATTTGTTACAAGAGGATGGTTTGAGCCTTCCAGTGATTCTAAGATGTTTGCAAGAGCGGCCGCTTCCTCAGAGGGCTGAGATTCTCTTCTTTCCCTATATTCGAACCCAGAACTCTTCAGCTTAGGGGCAGCTGGGGCCATCAGTAACTGCACAGCACCGTGAGGAATGAGCTTCTGTTGTTTCAGCATTCCCACAGGCTCGGTGGACACACGCCACCAAGAGAGCTGTGCCACAACTGCCAGACTTCTAAAACCTGGCCCGGCTACCTCACCACCTCTGTGTTCCAGGGACAGTCTCTGCCAGCTGTCTGTCCCCTCTCCCCCGGGTCTCTGTGTAGTTGGTTTATATGTAAGGTGGTTTGGAAGACTGGTAGAGGCCCTGGCCCACAGTGACCAGTAAAGGCTATTAAATTGATGAACAGCATTCTAATCATTATCTGTGCTCAGCATCAAACGCAGGCCTTTCAGGGTTCCCTTAAAATGTCCGCTGTGCAAACACGAGGACCTGGGCTTGCGTTCCCGTCACTCATGTCAAAACCAGGCATGGCACATGTTCCGCAACACCAGCATTGGACTGGGGTGGAGACAGGAGGATCACAGGGACTTGCTGGCAGTTAGTCCAGCCGATCAGTGAGCTCTGGATTCTGTGAGAGACTATCTCAAAAAATAGGGCAGAGAACAATACAGGAAGACAAAGACACTGACTTCACACACTCAGGCGCGCGCGCACACACACACACACACACACACACACACACACACACACTCACACGCACACGCACACAAAGCCCAGCATAACCTGGTCCCTGCCTACCCCTCCATTACTTCTCCCTTGCTACCTGCAGAACCCAAACACACCTCACCTGTGCACATGCGCACACAGACTTTCCTCTGTCCGGTTCTGCCCTCTCTGTCAAGCTCATCTGTGACCTCCCTTCGCTATCACTCAACCTAGACTGGCTCGCGCTTGCCTCCTACCATCAGCTGTCAGTTTACCATCAGTGAGGGCCTCAAAATAGGGATGTGCCTAGGCACAAGCAAAAGCCTCCAAACTGCAGCAAGACAGCAAGGTGTGGTCCACACCCCTGGGAGGCTGAGACACAGAGACCACCTGTGAGGTCAGCTGTACTACACCCCAAGTCTCTGCCTCAACTCCCACCCTCCCTAACAAAGAAGCAAGAAAAGAGTGTGGAGGAGGGAAGGATCAGCAGCACCAACTCAGGGCCTTAGCGTTGGACAGACCGAAAACGAGCTTCACAGCTGCAAGGGACACTCTGGGGACAGCAGGTCTCAGTTCTCTGGTGGCGGCTGCTGCCACAAGTGCTGGCTGTGTGGCAGAATGTGACTGTACACACTTTTGTCACTATTCTTTCCTGGGAGGGTGAAAATGTAATTCCTTAGTGTAGGGATTTTCAAAATAAATAAATAGGAGCCCAACAGGGACCACACTATGTGCAGGTCTGAGAGCAAACCAAGGAGGAGGAAGAGCCTGCAGGGTGAGGGCGAGGGCCTCCTTACCTGCCTAATAACCCAGGTTCCATGTGGGTTTCTCTCGGCATAGGCACACAAGGCTCCACATTTTCAAAAGGGTTTGAAACTGTTCTTATCCAGATTGCCTCTATGCGCTCTCTCCAGTGCCCCGGGCCCCAGGGCCCCTGACTCGGGGAGGTCTCTCCAGTGCCCCCAGGCCCAGGGCCCCTGACTCAGGGAGGTCTCTCCAGTGCCCCCAGGCCCAGGGCCATTGATTCTTGGACACCTCATACCTTTATTGTCAGCAGCAATGAATCCAAGGATGTTTTCATGGCGCAACATGACTGTCTGGTAGATCTCTGCTTCCCGGAACCAAGATCGTTCTTCACGAGAAGAGAAGATTTTCACAGCCACGTCACCACCTCTCCAGCGGCCACGCCACACTTCCCCAAATCGGCCCTTGCCGATAATCTCTTGTAAAACAATGGTTCGGGCCACCGTGCGCTGGACAAAAAGGGGTAAGCCTAAGGGCCCAAGAGTGAAGAGAAGTCTGACATTGTAAATCTGCTAAACTCCGGGCCTGCCACTCACAAAATGTCCCTCCAACCTCCCCTGCCCAGGAGCCAGAGTGTCACAGCAAGGCCTGAGCCATGCTAGGTTCACCACAGCGGGCTGAGAGCGAGTCATGTGATCAGCTGCCCTGTAGCCGAGAATGAGAAACTTGCAGGTAAATCTTTGACCACATTCACCCTCACTAGTGTCTGCTGTATTCCGATGGTCATAGAAAAAAAAAAAAAGCAGGGCTCCTGAGGTGGGCGCGGCCTCCTGGCCACCCTGCTCACTAACCACTAGAGGGCGATGCTGTGTGCCCAACAGGACCTATGGTCTAAGCTCATAGGGTTCCCAGCTCTCTAGAGAGCTATTCACAGGAAGGCTTCAGGTGTAGACTGGAGACTACCCACACTAATTCATGACTCATTTTACCATCTTGTAGGGCTCATCATTGCTTCATTTGACTCACTCAGTGTCTGTCTGTCTGTCTATCCAATCACCCTTCTCATCATGATTGACTTTATCTTCTTTCATTCCCTCCCTGGACCAAATAACAGCTGTTAGTAATCCCTGGGTTTGGTGGATTTACTGTGTGCTTAATAAGCATGAGGCTCTAATGCTAGGGGTTTTACATAAATCACCTCATTTCTTCATGTTCAGTAAGGCAGGCGCTGCTATTGTCCCCATTGTACAGACAAGAACACCAGGAAGGCTCAAAAGGGAACGTTCCATATCTCGCTCGAATGAATGCAAACAGCAAAGAGCAGACTCGGCCCGTCCTTCCCTCACGCCTGTGACCTGTCCTATTCTGTCCTTTCTAAAGACTTCCAACTGGTTTCCACCTCGTCTCACCTGCTTGTTCTACACACCCACTCAGCCCTGCTGCACCCCGCCCTTCCTAACAGGAGACTGGCAAGTGAATGGAACCATCCTCCACATCACTGCCAAGATCTCATTTCATCCAAAGGGGCAAAAGCATTTATTTGTCCATGTGAAAACTTCCAGCAGCAGCTCCGCCCTGCAAGACAAAGTGTGGCCCCATAGCCCTGTATACCTGGCCAGCCTGCCTCTGCCTGCTCTAGGCACATCATGCCAGACGCATTATTGTGAGTCTTTAAACACACTGTGAGCCTTCATGGGTTTTTGCTCTTTGCATTCAGTCTGTTCTGTGGCCTGGAATGTTCCTTGCCTGTTTACCTCACTTACAATCTCAACCTGTTCTTCAAGACTCCCTCAAATGTACATGCCTCTGTAAGATTCTTCAACAATCCCGTCAGCCTATCCGGTCACAGGCCAGTTCCTTTTCAATCTTTGTTTCCAGAGGGCATTCAGTATGCATTTATTACAAAGACCCAGAAGTCATAGCCATAACATGAACTTAATACTTTAAAGACAGCATTATTAAATACCCGGGCTAGAGAGATGGTTTAATGGTTAAGAGTACATACTGAGCCAGGCATGGTGGTGCACACCTTTAGTCACAGCGCTCGGGAGGCAGAGGCAGGTGGATCTCTGTGAGTTCGAGGTTAACCTGGTCTACGTAGTGAGTTCCAGGCTTGCCAAAATTACATAGTGAGAGCTTGCCAAAAGAAAAGAAGGAAAAAAGGAAGGAAGGATGAAAGGACAACCATTCTTCCAGAGGATCCGAGTTCAGTGCCCAGCACTCTGTCAGATGCCTCACAAGGTACAGCTCCAGCAGATCACCTCTGGCCTCCCTCCAAGGGCACCTGCTCACCTGGACATACCCGCCCCTAACACACACATAATTTAAAAAACACAACTAAAAACAAGACCAACACCTTGGAAGCCCTGCACACTCTGTACCAAAAATGGACTGAATTACCCAAGGAGGAATACTCACTAACTGTTTTAGTCTAGACAAAATGTCTACCAAGACTCCCCAATCTCAGCTGGCTTGGATCTGAAAACCCTAGGACACTCAGACTCTCCCAGGCACTTGCAGCCACTGCCCTGCCTTTGGTGGGAAAGCACATGCCAGATCATATTTTCTAGGTTTCTAAAAATATGCAGCTTTTAAATATATTCATGCTGGTGCTCTGTGCTGCTGAGCTCCCCAGGCTAAGGCACTGGCATGGAGAAGATGTCAGCGCTCACAGGAGGGCATCTGGCTATGGCTGACGGCACAGCTTCCATGCATAACCAGTCTAACCCACGGCAGGGAAACAGAGTCACAGTGAGACCCGGGTTCCAGCTCATGGCAGCACTGCCCTCTGGATGCTCTTTCCACGTTCAGAAGAATGGACTAGCTCTGAAATGATCGTTTATCTTCATTACGACAGCAACAATATCCTTTCAGTCATATTTGCATCTAAGGGTTAGCTGAGCTGGGTTTTTGAGACAGGGACTCACTATGTTGTTGTGTACTAAGTTGGCCTGATACTTGCTAGGCAGTCTGTGCTGGCCTTGAACTTGAGGCAATTGTCCTGCCTCAGCTTCCCCAGTGCTAATGATATATATATATATATACACACACACATATATATAATATTCTATCTCAGCTATGCTCCACCACACCCACATACTTCACTTTCTCTGTTTTTGTTAGCTGAGCTATTTCCCGAGACCTGAGCAACCTCAGCTCTCTCCAGCCTGAGTTCTGGTCTCGTGTCAAGGCCCAGTGCTGAGTTCAATGCCTCATCTAAGAAAGCCTTGGATAACAACAGGCCCTCCAGGAAATGGAGGCCAACTATGCTGGAAGCCCAGGCTGCCTTTCCGATAACTCTTACCAAAGCCCACGGGCTGTGGAACAAGTCAATGATTCACCAAGTCTCCAGTCTAAGCTTTGCTCAGTGTCCTCAGAGATCAGTGATTAGCTGTCAGCACCTCACAGGAATCCGGCACACTCTGGTTTCTCAAAAGGAGCCCTGAAACTGAGCAATCGGATGGAACCAGCTCAATTTTCAGACACACAGCTACAAAAGCTGGAGAGAGGCAGAGTTTCTGCAAGAGAAAGTTTTGCACTTGACCTCTGGAATCTTGGGGAATGAGAGATTTTGGTGTAGCCATTTTCATCTCTTATTACATGTCAGACTCCAGATGAGGAGAATTACGAAACCAAATGACTCGACACAGCAGGCCCGGCCTTCCTCATAAACACGCTCTCCTGCTGGGAACCAGTTGTGAGGGCCAACAAACACAGGGCCTGGAGAACCTAGTACCTGAGCCAGACCCTGACGTGGAGAGATCGTAGACAAGATCCTGGAGCGTCTTGTCTTTGGAGAGACACATCTCGCATGAGGGGTCCTCCATGTCCAGTCTCTGGCGGTTGTGGTAGACACGCTGGTGGTAATTGATGACAAGGAAAACGATGATGATGATGAGAAACAGGAGGAAGACCGGGCCGGCAATAATGCCCACCAGCTCCACAGGGCCCCACATGGAGGGGTGCTCAGGCTCCTTGAGGTGCCCTGGGAAAATGAGCGAGAAGAGGGAAGAAACAGTAAAAACAAGAGAATGCTGGGGTTCCATTTTCCCTGAAACTGCACCATATGTAAAGACCTCAGGTGCAGGTTTCCCTGGTCCTCCTGGGCTAGCCTGGGCTAGCCTATGCCTCGATGCTCTCGAACGCCACCTTTCTCTCAGTCCACACACTCCAACAGTGGAACCAAAACCACTCTGGAAGTTCAAGGCATGTCAGAATTGCAAGCTGCAGGCTGCTCCAGGCTCTGGTCAGCCTCTCATCAGAAAGACCTGCTAAATGGCAGACCTGCCCAAGGAGATGTCTAAAACTCTGCCACTGTGACCACCACCCTTCCTAACTAACCCTAGCCTTCCTCAGACCGATTCATTCACATGGCTCTGCTGCTGATGTCCTCTATCCCACAAGTAGCCGGTAGCTCTGGGACTAACTGGGAAATGTGCTCTTCTCACCTTCTGAGCAACAAGCCTGACTAGGAAAGAAGCCAGGCCTTTGCCATCATCACCTCAGGGAGCGTCTAAAAACCACCTCTCCCTATCACCGAGCAGAATGGAAGGACGGAGTCCTCGACCTCGACAGTGAGACAATCCAGGGGTCCACTCACCGCTGGGCACCCTGAGGTCAATCTTGTTGCAGAAGTCAGTGTAGCAGCAGTGTGTGTTTCGCAGGTCCTCGGAGCTCAGACAGTAGAAGGGCTTTCCAGCAGGGACCAGCTCCACCTTGGGGATGCAGGTGCGCACGTGGTGCTCCATGCCATCCAGGTTGAAGATGGAGACCATGCAGGCCCCATCTGTTTCACACGTGTAGTTGGTCTGCAGGCAGCTGGTACATGCACACAGCAGAGCTACAGGACACGGAGGGGCAGATGTCAACAGGAATGTACGTCTTCCTTCAAGTCCTTCTCCAAACTCAGAATGAGCCCCCCTCCCGGCATACTTATATCCCCAAATAAGCAGCTTCTATGGAACTGGGGACAGAAAGACGCCTCAGCAGGCACCTCTGCACCTCATTTAGCTCAGAGACAAGGCTCTGTAGGTCCTGCCATTCCTAACTGCTCTGTTCTCTGCCAGTGAAAGAGAGATGAAGCACCCACTCCTTCCAAATGATCCTGCAAGGTGGATGGAGCCTTCCCTTTGGAGAACAGGTGCTCCCCACATTCCACACAAAGCTACCCAAGATTCCTTGGGGCCAGTCTCATTCCATCTCTTCTTGGGCACCAGGCACCCCAGTTTCCAGGACATGGCATGCACGCTCTCATACAGTCTTTCACTGCAATGTTGTTGACTTTCTTCCCTGCCCAAATCCTTCAAAATTCTGCTCAATTACCACTTCCATTGAGAAGCCTTCCCTGGCTCTCCATCATCACCTCCTCCCTTTAGTCCATGTTTGGTACCCAGCTCATGAGGGCCAAGGAAGATGTTCTCCTTAGAGAATTTGAATGCCCACTTCATAAAGTTATTGTGAGGAGGAAATGAGATCATGCATATAAAGTGTATAATAAATTTAACCCGTACCAAAAGGCCCCAGGCAGCACTCGGCATGCATATGTACACTCATGTACTCATGTGCGTGCAACACACACGCTCTCTCTCTCCCTTTCCCCTTTTTTCAACTACGCAGTAGACAAAATCCCCACTGGGATTAATGAGTTTTGCTGGGTATGTACCACACGTAAGTGTGTGCCACCAACAGGAAATCACCGTCAATGAATTTGGCGCCTCTGAAAGCTGTTGAGCAGCCCTGGAATCTGCAATCCTTTATTTATCTGACTAACAAGAATAGCACAGACAGTTGGTACTCCTCTACTGTCTCCCCAAGCCTAACCTCGCCCTGACCTCCTGGACGGGCACGAGTGTAGCTTTGGCTGCAAGACTGGAGCCAGCATTGCCAGTGCTGGGGCGCTCACTCACTCACTCACTCACTCACCAGGGCGGGAGGGAGGGCGCGAGACCTCCATGGCACACGCTGGCGAAGACCTGCACACTGAGCCTCTAGAGCAACAGGAGCTGTGGCCAATCCAAAGGAAAGCCTAGGCTTCCTACAAAGAGTCCCTCTTCATCTCTTCATCCAAAGACAACCCAACCTACCCCAGACTGTAAATAAGGCAACACTTTGCTGTTCCCATTCCAGGACACAAGGTCTGGGGAGGGATGAGAGGCAGGAAGTAGACAGGCCTTCCATGCAGGGCCTGTGTGTTTACAGGGTTTGAGGAGATTTCTATCTTCCGAGACGAATTCCCAAACGTGCAGCTACCTGCTTGGCCGCATGATTTCTTACGGCAGTGTGTTTGAAGTGGGCAACTGAGAGACAAGGACTCGTCATAAAAGGAGCTTTTCCAGAAAGTCTCTGGACCTCGGTGCTAACCTTCTAGTCTCAAGACAAAGAAAACTCCAAACTTGTGCTGCAAATTCTCTCACTCTGTTTCTGTTTGTTTGAGACTGGTTCACTCCATAGCCCAGCTGGCCTTGAACCCTCCACTCTCCTGTCTCTACAGTACTGGGATCACAGGCCTGGGCCTCCAAGCCAGGCTCTGTCTTACTCCTCTTAAGAGCTTAAAATTTATTCAAGTCTCAGAAAACTTGGCAGGACCCCCTTTTCTTCCTCCAAGAGTCCTGCTAACCCAAGAAGGCGCCTTTGATGATTCCCTTTTGTGCCCTTAGGGGCTCCCTACAGGGAGCACACCTCTTAGTACCCATGTTGTGACGTCCAGCAAAGAGAACAGCACTGGGTCTATTTGGGGACGCAAGAAAGGGAAATTAACAACTTCAAGGGATGACTATTCTGAGCCTGGTGAGACAGCCAAGCCCACAGCCGCCTCTGAAAAGCAGTCCCTTCAGAGTCCATCAATTAGTGGGCCCAGCAGTCAGGAGCCCCTGATTCCTCAGACTTATTCTTTTCTCGTTGGCCTTGTTCACAGTGATTCATCCTGGAGAATGAACACGCCCACACGGGGCTCATTATTTTTGGGAAGTACTTAGACGATCTTGGTGTAAGACAGAAAGGAGGAGAAGAGGAAATCTAGGTTAGAAGGGGCTGAGGATGAGCTAGAAAATGACCACGTGGGTCTGTGATAAGGAGCTGGGCAAGTCCCTGAGTCTATCTGGGCCTCAACTAGCCAACCAACAAACACCACTTATCTTACAGAGACAAGAGGGAAGTTAGCCAACGGCCTGCTAAGTGCTGGGGCTCCCCAGCAAGGCTCCCTCCACCCACTGTGTACATCTTTGCCTTTGCAGAGCAAGTGACGAGTCCCGACAGCCACACTTTGAAGATAACCATCGCCACTAGCCACACTCTGAAATATCTAACTTTCCATCACCAGGAGCGGCAGTGGGTGTCTCGGAGTAACAGGTCACGGAGACCTGAAGCCTGCACGCCAGGTCTAACACTGGCCACGTGACTGAACTACTCAGCTGGCCTCCTGTACCACCCACTGTACCAGGCTGACACTGTAGAGCAGACCTCAGGACTGTATCAACTAACATAAAAGAACGTGTGCTAGGATGCACTCAATAAACACCAACTCTGCTTTGAATGTAAAAATTGAAGTCAAAAAAGACGCAAGCAAGGAAAATGCCTCGTACACCGACTAGGAAGTGTCGAGTCACAGTCTCAGGAAGAAACTGCTCATTAGTCCTGTGGCTGATGTGGCTCTGGGTAAGTCACCTAACCTCTCTCAACCCCACTTTCCTCATGATTAACCAGAAAAGGGAACTGAACAAGACGCCTTCTCAAGCCTTTCCGGTGACAAGTTCTCCTCCAGGTCCACTCTTCAGAGCACCCTGAGTGTCCTCTGCTCTGTTCCACCCCAGCCTTTCCCAACGGCTTTAAAGACACGCCTGGGCTACTCGCCTGCTAATGTTTCTCACTGAAACAAAAGAAACACTAATAAAAGTATAAGCATTCTGAACTTACGATAAACTTGGTATCCTAAATTTAATTCTTCCTGAAAAGCTAAATCTGGGCTAATGACAACAGCCCCTGCAATGTTTCGGGATGACTCATCAGGTCAAAGTCTGCACATGTGTACAAACAACACGGCGCACCTCAACGCTCCTATTCCACCACTAAGCATGAGATGCCAGGCGCGGCAACCACAGAGGAGCTACCAGCGCACTGTGTGTGTAAACAAGTCAGGGCCAGCATGTCACTCAGCAGTAGAGGTTTATCTACGTGTGCAAGGCCCTGGGTTTGGTCCCCAGCACTGCAAACTAAAAAAAAAAAAAAAAAAAAAGGAAAGAAAGAAAAAAGAAAAAGAAAGACGAGAAAGCGGTCAGAACACGAGCAGTCCTCCATGGACAGACTTTCTCTTATTACGAGTCTAATTAGTCAAACCTGAACTAAAGACAAAGCTGTGCGGCAAGACTGGAGCATAGTTCAAAGTCTGTCTGACTGGAAGGTGGTTTGTGGTGGGATGTCAATGCATATCTGATTCAGAAGAAACGCTGTTTTGAGAAAAGCCAAGTCTCAGCTTGGGCAGGCTCTGGGGGCCGGGGTTCTGCAGAGCCTCGGGAGGACAAAGATGCTCCAGGCTGTGCTCAGCCAGGAAGCCTCAGGAATCACCAGGAATCACCGGGAATCACCGGGAATCACCAGGAATCACCAGGAATCACAGGAGCGTAGCCTCACGACCTGACAAGCCACTGCTGGGGTGCCCACAACCTCAGAGTCGGAAGCATGCTGCACAGCAGCCTGCTCTGTCTAGGAACCGGCCACGGACACACCGGAACAGGTCCAAAGCTAGAGCGACCATGAGGGGTTGTGTCCGGTGGGTGCTCTTTTCTGATAGGCTGGTACTTTATACTTTTAGAATGCAAGGCCTCAGGCATGCTGGGAAAGAGCTTTACTAACGAGCCATGCAAGTAAGTTCAATAGAGTTAAGACAGACAGACAGACAGACAGACAGACAGACACCAGCTTTCTAGCACAGCGTGACGCTTTCGGCTGATGCTGCTCCAGGTGCACACAACACAGACCGACTCCATGATCCCATGTTGTCCTCATTCTCTCACACGGTCCCCACAGAGCTCAGGGCGGAGGCAGATGCAGCTGTCCCACTGTATGAGGAACAGGGCCCTAGAGAAAGTAAGGGCTCACAAACAGTGTGCCAGCAAGAGATAGTGCCCCTTCTCCAGGCTCCAGACTTTACACACAGGAGTTCCCCAGGATTCTCCAATGTCCCCTTGGCAATGACCAGGACTCTTAACTTTCAGGACCATGGGAAAAACCTTCCCAGTTAAACTCACCATCCTGCAAATGTATTCTCACCCCACTAGGTCAAATCTGCTCTTGTTTTCCTGAGCAGAGACCTTACCAAGCACATCACTGCAGCTGGCCATCCCTACTTTTCAAAGGCATGTCTATGACAGCTCCTATTCTGTCACCTCACATTTTTGTTCACAGACATCTTTACCTTCTTAAAAAGCTCCAAATCAGTCAGGCAGTGGTGGTGCACACCTTTAATCCCAGCACTCGGGAGGCAGAGGCAGGAAGATCTCTAAGTTCAAGACCAGCTTGGTCTACAGAACGAGTTCCAGGGTGGCTGGATCTATAAGGAGAAACCGTGTCTGTCTCTGTCTGTCTCTCTCACACACACACTCACACACGGCTCCAAACCTGTCGTGTCTTAGGAAAACCCCACAGACCACAGCCGTCTCTCATCACAGCTTAAACTTCACTACAGATCTAGTAAACAACTAGGACCTTCTGGAATCTCTTTATGAACAGGTGGACCAGGTCACTACAGTGTTCCAGCTGAAGTGCCATTTAAAGAGACAGACTATGCTCCATTCACCTCTGTGTCTCCAGGACTGAATATGAGTAGGCTCACAGTCAATATTTGCT